TTTTCTTTTCTTCTGTCTTTATTTCCTTCCCTCCCTCCCTTCTCTCCTCTCAGTCCCTCCCCCACAACATCCCCTCTCCCCCAGAGCCACTGCTCTTCCATTTCCTTCAGAAAAGGGCAGGCCTCCCAGATCTACCAACGAAACATGGCATATCACATTGCAATAAGACTAGACGTATCCCCTCATATTAATGCTGGATGAGGCAACTCAGTAGGAGGAAGAAGATACAAAAGCAGGCAAAAGAGTCAGAGATGGCAGGTGATCTGGCTATGGCATCTGCCACTCCACTGACTGCTAGTGTCAATTCTGCTCATCTAGCTGATTAAGCAGTGTCCCTCCCCCCTCTTACAGCTCCATGGACATCACTCCAGAATAAGGAAGGGCCAGTCTTTGGTCAAGGTTATAAGAAGGAGTAACCATGATGCCCTGCTAGAATCTCCAAACAAGCTCTCAAGATCACTGTTTTTTTCTAAGCTGTTTCTCAATTTCAGATTCCAGGATGGTAGCTGGTCATCTGTGGCCGTGACACTGGCTGTTTCCCCATGAGATATGAAGCCTGGGGCCTTCAAGCCCATATGTCCAAATTTCCAGACAGCCCCCAACTCCTGGATTTGCCAGCTGTGGAGGACTTTGGGGATGTCCGGGGACTGGGTGCAATTTCTGCTGGAAAGTGGGAGAGCCTGGGAACAGCAGGCATGGATGGTGTCCTGGAATGTGCCCAGAGCTGTTCAGCCTTCCCAGACCTCATTCCCATCAAGTAGCCAATCTGGGATGGTTGCAGGGTAGGGCAGAGGCCAAAGTCTGTGGTCTTGTCTGCAGATCTGAGTGTGGTCTTTCCCCTGGCTGACCAAAGTTCATCCCCTCATAGCAATGGTCCCAGGCAGAGCTGCCCAGGGTCTTTGTGGGCTCTGGAAAGACAAATAAACAGTCACACAGAGGCAGCATCTCTAGATCCCTAAGTCTAGACAGATTATGCCCAGACAGAGAGACCCCAGATGGGGCCACCTCCACGGGAACAAGTTGCGGCCAGTATGAGGGAGTCAGCCAGACCTGCTTGGCTACAGAGGATCTGCAAAGACAGATGATGTCTGTGTTTGGTGGGACAGAGCAGGCTGGATGTCTCCCTAGCAGTCAGTACAGGCCTCTGGGACCAAGTCTGACCAGTAAGGAGAGCCAAGAGCACTGAGACCTGAAGTCAGTGTGTCCACGGTGTAGCTCAGCCATCCCTGCCCTCTGAGTGCTGAGGCCTCACAGTGCAGGCAGTGGTCAGGATATGAGACAGTGAGTAACCTGGACAGTCACACACAGACCCACTATGGCATGAGGAAGGTGAGGTATGTGGCTTAGCTGGGCTCCTGCCTCCCATTAGGACCACTGGAGAAAGAGGAAGAGGAGATATTGGATGTGTTGGGTGTCTACTTGGGGTCTTCCTGTCAACCCATCTTGATTATTTCCCCTAACAGTTAGTGATGGATGAGACCTTATGACCATTTATATATCAAGGATGGGGAGCTGAGGCCCAATTGAGGTTCCATAGCCATAGCAGAGAGGACTCAGATCTGTGGCCTGGCTGTCTGCCACACAGTATCTTTGTGGTTCTTTCCGGTGACCTTGGCTATTTCTCCACATCATGTTTGAAGAGGATGGGGGCACCTTTATATATAGGTAGAAGGCAACTCATTTATTGAGTACCTACTGTATACTGGTCAACTATTCCCCCACCTGCTGCTTTCACCACCTCCAGCATCTCCACTGGTCTCTATAGCATCCCCAGAATCCTGTCCATTATCTCCAACATCGTCTTCAGTATCCTCAGCATTGTTCACACCATCAAGTTAGCATCATCCCCTGTGCCACAGCAGCAGCAGCCTCACTCTCATCCCAGCCCATGTATCCCAAGTACCTACTACACACAGGGTAAACCACAGATTAATAGAGTGTGGAATGCAAGGCTACTGAGGGGGGGGGATTTTGTTTAGTTCTTTTTTCTTTCTTTCTTTCTTTCTTTCTTTCTTTCTTTCTTTCTTTGGGGGGGGATTTTGTTTAGTTCTTTTTTTTTCTTTCTTTCTTTCTTTGTTTTTGTTTTCTCGAGACAGGGTTTCTCTGTGTAGCTTTGGAGCCTATCCTGGCCTCGAACTCACAGAGATTGGCCTGCCTCTGCCTCCCAAGTGCTGGGATTAAAGGCGTGTACCACCAACGCCCGGCTAAATAATATTTTTATTTTTATGCACATTGGTGTTTTGCCAGCATGTATGCCTGTGTGAGGGTGTCAAAAGTCCTGGAAATAGAGCTGCAGAAAGGTGTGAGCTGTCATGTGGGTGTGGGGAATTGAACCCAGGTCCTCTGGCAGAGCAGCCAGTGCCCTTAACCACTGAGCCATTTCTTCAGTGCTCTTTGTTTAGTTCTTATTGATGAGTGGAAGCTAGACACTGTCCCACGTCCACCTGGCTTTGCACTGATGTGGTAAAATGGAGATGACAGGGAAAGAGTGACAAAATGGTAAATGGTATTATATTCTCCAGTAACAAGGAGGGAATGTTTCTTGGTCGTGATCTAATTCTGCAGTAACCTGTTCAACTGGTGGAATTCTGGGGATATGGTGGTCCCAGTCAGAGCATGTGTGGTGCACCCTGGCCAGCTGAGAGCTCCCTGAGGTTCTCCACCTACATCCAGGGTCCAGCTGGGTTCTGCCAGGAAGGGAGTACAAAGAAGATCCATGTAGTGAAAGCTCGGCTCCCCACAGGCTTGTCCCCATCACTTAAAGGTAGAAGATGCTGTGTCCACTTATCTGGCTCAGAAGGTCTTCAAGGCTCCAGGATGAGAGGACCCTGGGTGGGATGTCTGGGTCTGGGCTTCATAAGGTCCTAGCTCAGAGGTGGCAACTAGGGAGGGACAGGTTGAGAGGACAGAATGAGATTGCCATCTCAGCCTCCAGAGTTGGCTGGCCCAGGAATCTGCACACAGTAGATACCCAATGCATACGTATCAAGAAACTGGCTCACATATGGGTCTAGTCCCAGCTTTATCTGCTGTGTAGCCCAGGCTGGCCTTGAACTTGTGACCCTCCCAATTCACCTTCCAGGTACTGTGATTGCAGATATATGCCACTATGCCTGGCTCAGAGCTGGGTTTTGGAGAGCCACTGGAACCTGCTCTGGGAGCCCGCAGCATGGTACCCACTCATTCATAGGTATACCACAATAAGCTCAGGTGAGGGGAGCTCCAGCTCAGCCCCAGTGCTGCAGGCTCTGTGGAGTCACTCCAAACCCTGTTGAGGATGCAACAACAGTATGTTCCCACAATGCTGGAACCTTCTACAGCTTTGGTTTGCATTTATTTGTTTATTTACTTATTTATTTTGGATAGGGTCTCACAAGGTCCCTGGATAGCCTGGAACTCACTCTGTAGACCAGGCTGGCCTCGAGCTCACAGAGATCCACCTGCCTCTGCCTCCTGAGTGCTGAGATTAAAGGTGTGTGCCACCATGCCTGGCAACTTTCCAGTTTTAATGCAAGGTGACTTCTTTCCACAGGAGCTCATCACAGCTCACACCCCAGCAGGAAGAACATGCTATCACATTTGGAGGTGCCTGTGATATCCCTGGATGTTCTATGTATCCATATGTGGGTATGTTCAGGGGGTGTTTGGGCATGTGAAGGGTGTATGGGGTTCAAAGCTGCTAAGAGAAGAGGCTGGGCTTCATCATGGGACCTCACAGTGACCCTCTATGAAGGAGAGAAAAAAACTAAACTGAGGGCCATTGATACCCCAAGATCAGAGCCATGTCCTCTGACTTACTACTCAGCAGCCACGTAGCTGTCAGCTGATCCTCGTGGTCTCACCCCAACATCTGGGTGCCACTAGGATCGACCATCCTCACAGGAGAGTCTAAGGTTCATTCATTCATTTCATGGATCACTCTAGAGAGACTCAGTGTGACCCCTGGGAGCTGACTTTCTAGCAGAAGGTCATGAAATTTAAGTAAGCAGGGAAGATGGGAGGCTGTGTCTGAAGAGGCCTCCTTAGGAGGTTAGGACCAGATCTCAGG